GTGTGGAGGGGATCAGGTGCATGGCTGGGAAGGGGACACCCTGGGCTGAGCTCCTTGACACTAAATCCTTGACACTAAATCCCCTGTGCTGCAGACCAGATTCAGTCACTTCAGGGGCTGGACCTGGCCCACAGGTCAGAGGCTGAGCACCACTGTTTTAAACCATTAAGAGACAGGCATTGCATGTGACAGCGAATGGTACAGTTTCCGAATCATGCACAAGGCTTCCTATGACTGCCGGAACTCTATCGTTCTGTCTCTGTACAGTGAGATGCCCCAGCCAAAAGCACATGAAACAACACTCCTGCAATCACCAACAGACATGTCCCCTCTGCACTGGGCTGGTTAGTAAAGAGCATTACCCTTGCGGCAGCTGACACAGTCATACTCCGAGGTCTCTGGGCCTCCTCAGTGGGCAGAAGTGGTCCGCTCTGGGCTCCTCCATTAGGGTCTGGCTCACGTTTTTCTTTGCGGCGTTGCAAGGTGTTTGCCGTAGGCTGGTCATAGGGGCCGGGCTTAGACCAATCCTAAGGAAATGTTTGCATTAGGAGACATGCTTTCTCCATGGAACTACAGTCATTCCCACTACATGGCAATATCAATACAGCACATTATGTATCATAGTATATAGGTGCACTACTTAATCTGAGGTTACCTGGAAAAACTTCCTAGTGCAAAAACTACTTCTGCTAACCTACTGCCCCTTTAAACAGAGGTACCTAAAATATTAAAATACCTTAGTTCTCTCCATATGAGCCTTTCAGTTGTTTAAGGCCTAACATTTCAGAACTATAAAGGCATACACTTGCAAACCACCACAAATGGGCAAATGCGGTGCATCTGCAAAGGCCAGTTAGCCATTCATGAGTCCTCCTGCATATGCAAGAGATGGAGCACACCACATCCCATGCACACAGCTCTGAATGCCCCCAGAAGTAGAAATGTACATATTTTGAAGCCTACTCATCAGCTTTAATCCAGGCTGTAGTTATGAGCTGCGAGGAGACTGTTTCTTCTCCTTTCCACACAGATGTGGAATGCACTGAGGCTTGGGCGCTTACTCAAGCTGACAGGGATGCATTCACTTAGGGATCTACCAAGCGGTGAAACTCCAGGTGAAGCTGGGGCCTGTGTACCAAACAAAGTATCTGGCACAGATGGCAGATTCACTGACCACCTACTCCACAGGTCCCAAAGTACTAATGCTCAATTGCCTGTAGGGCCTCATCTCATCTCCTTCCCCAACAGGGACAACCTGGAGACCACTGACAGCAGGTTAGCTGCTAATTACCTACTCCAGTGCCATCTCCAAATCAATGGCTTCATGACAAGCCAGGTCTCCGCAGCAGACTTCTGTTGGCACAGGCTGTCAGGGCTGATGAGGTTCCTGACCGACAGAGCTATGGTGGCAGAAACCCCTGGTGTAGAGACTGACACAAAGCCCAGCTATGCCCAAAACACTTTGCCAGTACAGTACTTCTCACACCAGTCTCCTGCTCCAGTAGATGCAGCTGAAGATGCTCAAGACCCACAGTTATCATTACTCTCCTCTGCATGTGGTTTGCCAAGAGTCAGCCCTATGGTCTCCACATACTGGACTGGGGAAGTACGGGACACTTATGTGTAAAATCTCAGAGCTAACAAGGGGCAGTCTCCAGAGCCAGGAGTTATTTGAAAAGGGCCTTCTTACTAATTAATTTCCTGGGAGCATATGTAATGTTGGAACAAATCCATGGCCATCAAGCAGGTCACGGCTCCTGGAGGTCAGGGCCACATGGAGCCTCAACATTATCAAGGAGAAAAAGCTTCAACCCATTTACTCCAAAGACACAAGCTCTTCCTCCCACTTGCAAGCAGGGAGCAGTACTGGAGTGATGAGGCAATGGGGCAGTCCCCATGACATCCACCAATGAACTGGTTAAAGTAACACAGTAGCAGAGTGCTTTAGGCACCTCACTACAGCTCCAGAAGCAGGCATTTGACCCCATTCTGGGTTGGTGCCAAAGGCTGCCCTCAGTCTACACAGCAGTAAATGTGTACCTCACCACCCACCTGGAGTGGGTAAGTCAAAGGCTGCCAGACATGAGGTTAGCTACAGAAGCTGGCATGCCTTCATCATGCCACCCCATGAGCCATTAAGCTCAGGAGGACCCAGGACCTTTTTGGCTTCCTCTGCATGTCCTGACTCATTCATTACAATAGTTAAAAATAATACGTGCATCTTGTTACACAGCGTAAGAAACAACATTTTCACTAAACAAATGCTGTGCCAACCCTGCACTTGCGGCCTCAGGGTGGGTGCTGAAACGCTTACAGACGTCTGGCTCCCAGCAGCAGAAGACCCAGAGTGCATTCAAGCCAAGATGCCTCCTCCCCTTTCCAAAATCTGACCGTCATCCACTTGTTAAAAGGAACATAAGTACTAATATCATACTGTTCCTGTTCATTCTGAAATGCCTATTACCTTCCTTTAGATCATTATATTTATCATTGCATGACTCTAGTAAATGTTTAGCACCTATCTCCACTCTAGTATGGTATTAAAATAGCCAAATGAACTGGTAATTATGTGGGATTTGAAATGCTACTATAGTGGGTCGTGCAGGCATGGAGAGGAGAGTGCTGCTACAATGAAAGAAACACAAACCTTCCAGCTAGGGATCTTAGATGATGGTAACATGCCAGGCCCAATGGTGTAATAATGAACGTAGTCTGGATGGAGGGCTGAGGAAGCCCGACTCCATGCGCGGGATGCAGGCAGGTAATGAGGGAAAGAACCTGCACCAAATGAAGCTACGGATGGGTCACTTGGTAAACTACAGTGATAAAACCCATTATACAACTGGAAATGAAAAACACAAACAAAAACAAAGAAATTAATATAAACAGGATGAATATGGAAATACACAGCCACACATGCTCTAAGGGGAGAGACATTCCTCATATTTCAAAGCAAAAACTGAGAACTGCGGCAAACAAACAATGGGGAGGAAATCAGTACGGTGTTTGCTCCTGAAAGATTGCTTGAAAATTGTTACTGAAATAACAAATTTCCACACACAATCTAGAAATTATTTTCTCTGGACTGAGCCACTTTGCCCAATCTCTGGTGGAGATGGCATGCTGCATCGAGTCTCAACAGGCTGGTTATGCCGACTCTGGACACCGAACCTCAAACATCTCCAAAGCTGAAAGCCTTCGCATGTTGATGTCATTCATGGCATACAACAAAACAGAGCAGAGAAAGCATGCAGCCCCAGAAAATGACTATCCCAGCAGCATAATGAGAGGGGAGGGAAGAAAAAAAAAAAAAATAAGAAAAAAAATGGCAAGGATTACCAGATGTAAATGGATACTAATACTGACTTCCTCCCCCAGATCCAGAACGTATCCCAAGCTTATTCTAGCCTGCTGTTTTGTTCTGTTTTTAAATGTACTTGAGTTGCTTAGAGAGTAATGCATGCTACATAATTGAGGGAAAGAACCCTGGACAGTAAAACGTGGACAAGAGCTTTTAGGGAGCCTCCTGCCATGCTATGGCTGCACTTTTTCCAGAAAGCCACCACTGTTACGTTGCCATAGTTTGCAGGTCATCCCAACTGGCAGTTTAAGACATGTTTCACCATGGTTTACTTATTCGTTAAAGGGGAGCATATAACAGTTCTTCACAGGGAGGAAAATCTTAGCTGCATGTCCCATGCATGTCGTTTGCATCACTGAGCCAGGAGAACAAGCTTAAAGACTGGTATGTCTGCGAGATGAAATGTTTCACCTTCTCTGTGGAGGCCCAAGCCCCCGTGGTGGAGCCTGAGCTGACTGAGGTGGGGGAACTGCACTCGCTCACTGACTGGCAGGTTTCAGAGGCTTCTGAAGAGGCAGAGCTGGACGAATTCTGCAGCGTAAAACGGCACCGCGACACCGCAGAGAAAAGAAAACAAGCCACCAAAAAAAAAAAAAAAAAAAAAAAAAAAAAGAGGGGTTGGGGTGACAAAGCGCACACAGACAGACAAACACAGGAGAAGGGGAAGGATGAGAGAAGCAGAGGGTTAGGCATTAATCATTATAAACTGCTCAAAACCATCACTAATGATCAGCAATTTAACAAGAGAAAAAGCCAGAACAGTTCCTTAAGACGGAGGCCAGCTGCACTGGGGTGAGAGGCCTCCGTTTCCTCGCACCTGATCCCTCGCCGTGCCTGCACCTGCAATTGGAGGGCCCAGTCCTGTCGGGGGACGAGACCCTGCCTGTAACAAGTCGATGAAGCTGAGAAACTCAGCACATCGCACAACTAGGTCTTCAACGCACTTGAGCTGTTTAATATCAAATGCGTGTCACCCCAGAGCTCGCTATGTAAGGATTCAGCCTTCCTGCAGGAAGATGAACAGGAAATGCCACTGGTGTTTACACGTGCTGGAGTTTTTCTTTGGACACAAAGCTCGGCTGAGTCTTTGGGTTCGAGTCATGATTCCTACTGGCTGCAAAGTTTCAACGTTCACCTTTCCTCTGGTGTCTTCTCCCTGCCTGCACTGATCGGGGCTGCCTTACAGCACGCTCTGCACAGATCTGAGCAGCGCTTTGCAGAGTAACACGTAGGATTCCTCCGAGGGTAGTAACCTGCTATCTGGTCCATCAGTGTGACCTTATTTGTTTCACTCTGTTCTTCAATAACCTTCCTGGTCAAGACACACAGTTCTTCACACTCTGGGCCACTGCCTCACTTTTATATGAAACTGCACTTCACATCTATTAGCCTATTGACCTGCAAAAACCTTCGAGCTATCTCTATCTGCTGGCATTCTTTATTCACTCTATTTTCAATTCACATACAGCACTTCTGCCCAAAAACGTACTAGACATGCCTCTTCCTTCTGCAATGGTGTTTCCTAGAAAGACAAAATCCCACTGAAAAGCCTGATTTCCCAGGGGACTCTACTAAATCCTGCATTTGATCTGGATCAAATTTGAAGCAACTGCATGTAGAGAACTTGTGAAAGTTTCCTTCTGTGAAAGACTAGCAATGTAAGATGAGTTCCTGATAGGACCTGATCAGTGCTCTTCCCAGAGAAGTTAAGGCTCTTCTGAGATGGTCTCCTACCTATTCACTGAGACTTAGCACTTCACCAAATGCTTTCTGGAAATGTAGGTAAACTTCTCCTGTGTTTTAGTCTGGATCATTTGAGTGAGGGACTGCATCATCCTCACTCAAATAATCCAGACTAAAACACAGAAGTGGAAAACACTGAGGCTGTGTCTACATGAGACAATACTGCGCAGTGGTTACTGCACGTTTTATTTAGTACTTGTTTACGCAAGTACTAAATAAAATGTGCAGTAACCCGAGTGCAGTAAATCCAAAGAAGTGATTCTCCTGCTTTACTCAGCATTGGTGAGACCACAGCTGGAGTATTCGTCCAGTTCTGGGCACCGCTCTCATCCTCATCAGCAGAGTCCCATCACCTTCCTGATTTGTACAAGCAGAAGCCAGTTTACAAAGCAAGCTTGCCCTGTATTTCTGATCTACTTTCCATTTTTAGGTGATCTGCTTCTCTCTACTCTGTATGGGAAAACTTCAAGAATGCTACTTTATTGTTAGTAAAATTAGACCCTGCACTTTGAGAACAGCATTTGTTTTGCTCCAATTGTTCTTCCAACTTGTTTCATCTGCTTATTCTTTTACAAAGACACTGTGCAATTTTCACTCTCATCGGGCTGTTTCAAAAAAGCCTCTTCAACTGTGTCCATAACTTTCACTGCCCTCTGTCCTGACCAGATGCAAGCCAGGATGAATTTCAAGAGCAGCCTCTGACTGTGTAATTATTGCCGACTTTCCTCCAGTGCGTTTCTCATGTTATAAAACACAAGGCATTTCATGTTCACTCAGAGGTGTTCGTAAATCCAATAAGCAGAGCACTTGATCACTGATGCTCCTAAGCCCAGGTTTGTCTGTTGTGCCTGGCTGTGCTTAGCTTCAGGAGGTGAAACACCCTGCATGGGCAGCAGTCCCAAAAGCAATTTTAGGCTCTCTCTGCCAGTGGTTTCTACCAACGTACTTTTGTTTGTTTTACACACTTGTAAAAACCACCTGTGGTCATTCCAACCCCACCTGGACAAGACTGGTCTTGTGATTGCCGAGTGCAAAAAAGCTTGTTTATATTCTGTGCAAAGACTAATGACCTTTGAGGTCCCTTCAACACCTTGATTTTGACTGCTTAGCAATACTCAGTTAACATTTGAGTCATTAGGAATGAAGTACTTCTTAGAGCTTTACTTGTCAGGACATACTATGGACCATGCTCTGACATCCTTAGTCCCTGAAGTCGATAGAAATGTACCTGGAAAAAAGGCTATTAAGCCAGAGTAAGAGCATCAGAATCTAGCCCTTTTTGTCCAGTTTCTGTCCAGGGTGTGTGTCAGCTATCTTGACACTTTTCCACAACAGCCTTCATTTTGCCCTTGAGGATCAATGACAGACTAAATAAGCCTTTACCTCTGCTGAAATCTGAACCCTGCTTATCTGACTGCCCCATTATTGCCCATTTTTTTAAAAATGATTTATTCTTAAACTGCTAATTGGAAAAGTGTTGTTGTATGCTTGCTTAAAATTTGGGTAGATGTATAAAACCAACTTCCTGTAGCCTGACTGGAATTCATTCCACAGTTTGAATCCCTTTACACGGTGCAATGTACCCTTTCTGCATCTTTTCATCCATCACCGAAACAAAACAAATACGTATTGCTTAAGGTGACAAAAACATGTTAATAAACATCAATCCACGGACTTAATAAAACCCATCAGCAGCAAAAGGTCAATCAGTACAGGGAGTAGTGCTTTTTATCCGTTTAAAACTCTCTGCTCCCCAGAATGTTAATGTTAGAAACAATGACACTCAGGTTTCAAAAACATTCAGCAAACAGTATCTGTGCATCTTCCCCCTCCCCAGCTTTGGGAGCACGATACCAGAACAGAAGTCTGTGAAGTTAGGCACACACAACATAAAATACACTGCATATTCAACAGCCTCCCGATAAATTTACCCTTGCATTTTTTTTTGTCAGCAACACACACATTTTACTTAGTGCTGCACATACAAAACAAGACAAGCCAAAATGAAGCAGCCAGGCAGTGATGCATCACTTTCACCTTGAGAAAAAGATACATGGAGTAAGAGATGTGGAATCTGCACCTGTTCATTATATGAACATGCTACACTAGAAAAGTCAAAGAAAATAGCAGTAGGTCTCAGCTACTGCTCTCCTAGAGCTCCAGAATAACCGCAGTGGCATTTGGGTTGCTTTGTCACTTTGTGCGTCACAAAATGAAGTAAAATGATACTTGGAGTCACCCCTCAGTTCCACTGTTATTTCAGTTTACACCAACTAAGCAGCTGTTAAAGTACAGATGAATGCATCTCCAACTGTGGATGTTGACTATATAAAATAGCCTTATCAGAAAAAAAAATCCTTTGGCTGCAGACATGACTAGAATTATCATATAGCAACTCAGCACACTTTATAGAGCTGCTCTGGAACGTTTGAACAGCTAAGGGGATCCCAGTAGCTAAAACCCATATGGTTTAAATTGTCCTTACTAATCCAGTTTGCTTTTTGTCATTCATGCTGCATTTACTTTTTTGCATTTCACTTGAATTAGCCACAGCCAGTCAAAATGGGGTTAAATTTCAGTGACCTGCATGCTGTTCTTAATCACTTTTCTTTTCAGAATATCATCTGTAAGAAAAGAAGCTGCAGTGTCCAGGCTGCAGACGCTGCAGAAGACGCACCCGTTTAGAAACAAAATGTTTCTATTAAAAATACTGGAAACAGCAGAGTTGACAACATTCTGTTTATGGGTACACATTTTGGGCTTGAATTAACCCAACAGCTTTCTTTTAAGTAACTGCCTTTTTGTTTTATTTCAAGTCCTATTTATCAAATGCTCAGCAAGGAGCAAGGCACTTGATACAGTGATGGAGATGCTGAGAGGAGCAGCCGATGCACTGATGACATCTGCATGGCCTCGTCCTGGTTTCCAGTGGATACAACTGCTACCAAATGGAAAAAGAAAGATCGCCAAAATGCCATGGTTGTTAAAATGCCAGTAAGGGAGTGTTTTTTCCCAAATGATTTCAGTGGTGTTAAGTGACACAAATCCCAGCAAGATGACAAGGCCCACAATGGGTCTTAATGGTAAGCTTTACAGGTGGGGTTGAGAATGCAGGGAGACAAAGTCAGACAAGGTTCTTTTGGTAACAAAGTCTTCATGAGCACAGAATAACAACATTATCCTATTTAAAGTGTGATTTGTGAAATGAAGCCAAATTCAGCTGCTGAAAAAGATACAGCGGACATGTGTGCAAACCACTGTCCAAGTTCTCCAGAAAGTTTTGTAGGATGCTTGATTTGAAATACAAACAGAACAGCAATTCACTTGTATAAAAAAAAAAGACAGAAACATATGATAAAAAGGGCAAAGGATGAAGCCACAGATAAAATCTGATCCTATAAATGCTGACAGTCAAAAGTTCATTGATTTCAATTGGGCCAGGATTTCATCAAATGTTTATAAGAAATGCCTATTAACCTAAACTCCTATTCCCTCTCCGCCCCATGTTTGTGTTATTTACTACAAGCTGGTGGATTGACAATCAAAGGGAATAAAGCTGTCAACTGAGGGAGGAGACACTCAAATGGGCAGAGCAAGTTTTGCCAATGCCACTTATTATGACTCTAAAGGGGCCCCTTGGAAGTGACAGAAGGAGAACAGTGTTCGGCAGGCTCCATGGTTGGCCTCTGTCCACACTGCCGGAGCTCATACCCACTGTCAAGAAGCTACTGTGACGTGGATGTCTGTCCACTGGAAGCTGAACAGCCACCAGATGTCAACAGCTTGTAATCCTTGTGAACTGAGACAGGATACCTGGGTGAGATTCAACTGAGAATGAATTCCCACAGTTAATGTTTAAAATCCTATTCCCTGATACCAGAAACCTTGCGCTGCTTTCTCTGACTCCACGGAAGTCAAGTCAATCATCATATACCGTTCGCATCAAGATAATTGTATTTTACTATTGCACGTACCTGGTTAGGAGCTTCTGGTGGCATGGGGGATGGTGATTTGGACTGGAAAGCATCCTGGGACATGAATCCAGAATCATGGGATGACACACTGGACAGTCTCATGGGTGCCTGCTGTGGCAGATTGGAGCTGCGATAGCGATAGTGTGAACTAGGTGAGTGAGAGTGTGAGCCACTCGACCGGGAATCACTACTGTTAACGCTGTTCAGACTGCTGTGAGAGATGAAAGGGAAAGAGAAAGGAAAGGGGAGCAGACAAGGCAAAAGGAAGGGTTGGGAAGAGACCGGTACAGTACAATTAACCCTCCAACAAGTCTCTAGCAACAGGCAGCATAAACCAGAAAAAAACAACAAAAAAAACAGTGCCAAAAGAACTGGTGAAACCATCAGCAACTGCAGTATCCCTTGTGACCAGAGAAGGAAAATGGCATTTTGTACTCAGTTTCACTTGCTGGGGCTAAATTCTGCCAGCTTGACTTTAAGGCATTGTGAGGAAAGCGTGCAGGATAAGGGAGGCAGAATTTGGTCCTAGGAAGTTTTTTTGAGGAAATAAAACACAAATTTCAGGCTTTTTATAAACACCATCACTACATGAAGTACCGACAAGCCAATGTTGTTCCTACAGAACAGGCAGTGATGAGTCTAGTATTGATTCCACCACTGAAGTGTGTTTTGGGCCATCTCCAGTAGCATGTCTGAAATGTTAAAGTCACAGCCCCCTGCACACCCAAAAGTTGGAGCCTGAACATGCAAAGTAGAAAGGCAAAGAAGCATAGTTTTGGAAAGGTGCTTTGGCAGATGGAGACAAATTAATTCTCAGAGCTTCTACAGTAGGTTTCACTGCATGTAAAAGCAAGCTGAAGGCATGGAAAACTACCCCCAAGTGTGACGATCATATATTAGTTGGGTAGGAGAGGAAAGAGAATTAAAGATCCAAGTTAATAACTGAGGAAAAAAAAATTCTGTTGGCCTCTGAATCCAACACGACAGGTTTCATTTCCCAATAAATCTCTGCTGCAGCTATGGCTTGAGCATCTTTAGAGAGTTTTTCCTTTACACCTTGTGACTTGTAGGATAGAAACAGACACCACCAAGACAAAGCAGATCAACTATGATGGGACATGTCCCACCAGAGCTGATCTGCTTTACTAGGTAATGCACACATCACCTTTGTCCTGCATCAGGCCTCTGGCCTGATGTGGAACAAGGGGAGATGGGTTCCCCTTGCCCAAGGATGCCCCAGGACCCTTGCTGCCACACATCAGGTCTTGTGCTGAACCATGCCTCCACATAAAGCATGAGCCAGTGCCAAGTCCTGCACCAACCCAGAGGTATGGGTCAGCACAGGTCCTGGGCATAGAGGTATGGGGCACTGAGAATCTCCCACCTCCCATGCTGCCTTGCACCTCCAGGACCCGTGTTTCAGACAGAGGCATAGGTCAGCATGGGTCCTGGTACAGAGTAGCACACGAGTCAGGGAATCTGCCTGCATGCTGGGACCTGCACAGACCTGTGCCACCACCTGAAGCACGGGTCCCAGCACAGGACCAGGGAATCACCAAGAGCCCTAGGCCTCCGAACCCTGTGCCTCCACATCAGGACCCGCACTGACCAAGTTTCACACAGACACAGGTCAGCATGGGTTCCCCGGTGGAGGCGCAGGGCACCCAGGATACCCCAGATTCTGTGCCTCTGCAGCACGACCCCTGCAGGCTTTCCCCGCTTGCAGAGCCGTGCCCCTGGGGAGCATCTCTAAATGAAGAAAGCCAGGCAGGTGCTCCAGGTGTTAGAGGGGCCTGATCCTATCCAGAGTGCGCAGGATCAGGCTCCTCAGACCTCTAGAGCCCCTGCCTAGGCTGGAGAGAGAGTGGGCAGCTCCAGTCTGTCAACACTACCACCACAAACCAAACAGACATTGGCCAAAATTAAGGCAGTTTTATTAGCACCTTTTGTTGTGCCACTGATGTGACATGACAAAAGGTAGTGACATTTATTTGCCCAGCATTTGTGCAACCATACAAATGTTTACAGAAGCACAAATGCAAATGCCAAGCAATGTCTGCTTTTACCCTTAAAAGGTATCAGCAGCAGTAAGAGTTTGCCCCATCTGAGCACAGCTCACCTAATAGTAAAAAGGAAGCCTAAAAAAGGAACTAGGGCATCTCCTGTATGCCAATTCCAGTGTATGAATCTATTTAATACCTACATGTAAAAAGCATGTGCTGTATTAGTGACTTAGGTGCTAGCATTGCTTTACTTACTAAGAGGGAAGGAGAATCCTTGGTAAATGTGATTGTATCTTGACTTGGTTTACAAAAGGAGTAACCAGTTAGCGAATGGTAACTGTCCTTGACTTCTGGGTCTAAGCTTGCAAAGCAGTCCTGATCATAGCCAGGCTGTAGTCTTGTCTCTCAAAATACCAAACCTCACCAGGTTTTTGGTAACAGTAGGGGAAGCGCTGAGGGAGTGGGGAGCAAGGAGGCAAAAAGAATGTTACTTGATCCATATAAAAAAAAATTCTGCTGCTTTGCAATCTGATCACTTAAGAAAATACAAGGTTGATTAGAACCTAGGTTCCATGTGTTTTCAGCCATTTTCTTTGATAGTTTTAGGATACTGCATCTTTAAGCCTGTGCTTATTGCTGTAAATATATTTAAGAGGTGGGAAACTGTATCTCCATGCAAAAACAGCTTATGTACAAAACCAAAGTGCAAGTTTGAGTTCAGCCATGCTACAAGCTTACTTAAGGTCATGCGCAGGTGCCTACCATATGTTAGATGTGTAAGGCAAACAAAAATGGCAATAATACTAGAGAGGCTAATGAGGCATTAGAGGAGGGTGCACAATATACCGGTAATATCTTCCTTTTCTAGAAAAGGAAAGAGTGAATTTAGATGCCAAGGTAAGGGGCAACATGATGGTAAACTGTTTGACAGAGAACAGGTTATGGGGTTTTATCATTTTGTTTTGGTTTTTAAACAGAGAAAGCAGAGACAGGGTCTAACTTTTCAAAAACACACTTTGGAACAGTCTTTACAGCATTAAACAGTCAGGGAAATCTTGCATTTTACAGTATAGCATTTCTACCTAATAGACCAAAGTAAGAATCATCAAGAATATTCTCTTCTTTCAAACAAGTTAACCAACTAAGAAATTGAAAATGGTGCAAGATCATTTCTTCACTAAGTCGCAGTATATAGTACATATGATCAGAAAGGATAGTCACAAGCAAGCAGTTGCAGAGCTTAGATCACTTAGTACTTTTGCTCTTTGCTCTGTAATGGATTCAACTGAGCTGAATCAAAAGATACCTCCCAATTGTCTTACTGGTTTTGAGTTCAAAGTTGTTTGACTTATGTCTCATTTTTAAATGCTTGTAAGTCACACGCATAAATGTATGACTGGGAGGGCCCAATATGATCAGATTTTTTTTAAAACAAGCAAGTATGAACCTGAAGTTGCCACCTAGCCCCAACTTCCCCTTACAAAACAGGTTAAAATGATATTCATCCACCTACCTGCAAACACTGGACTTTCTAGACATGGTAGTACTGGGAGAAGATGGAGGCGTCTGATATGACCAGCTGTAATCTGAACCTTTCAAATCTAGAATTACCTGATTAAACAGAAGTGATAATACGAAGGGTTATAAACAAACAAATCCAACCCATTTCCTTATTAAGGCAACTTCTGTTGCTTGCAAACACTGTTCATTGTAAGAGGGATTTTCAGTATTATTATAATGTAGTTTTTTCCTCGCTTTATAATCTGTGATCACTAATTCATGCTCTCCATTTTACAGTCTTTAATTCAAAATGGAACGACAGCTTCTTTAGTTCCATCACTGGGTTCTCACCCAGGCACTAGTGTGTCTGGGTGGCAAAAGCCAAAGTTTTACTTGCATTATAATTATAAAAAAAAAAAAAAAAAAAAAAAACAGCAGCTTTTAGGCCATCGCATGCGTGCGTTCCCATTAATTTCAATGGATTTAATATGCATTTGTAATCAGGGTTGCTTACATTGCTGGATCAGTGCAAAAGGGTCTTACTGTAAAGAGTCTCATTGAGAACTGGGCTCAATTAGAGTAAACTAAAATGATTAGTGGATCTGGGCCTACACTCTAGAGCAGTGGCTCCCAACCTTTTTTCCCCCCCTGCGCCCCGCTGCTGGGAGCAGTGTGGTGGCGGCTCAGGGGTGGGGGAGCTCCTGGCACGGATCGTCTTTTCTGTGCAGCGCCGCTGGCACTTTCCCCACAACTTTCATTTGGGTCACAACCCGGGGTTGGGAACCACTGCTCTAGAGTAAAATGACCTTATAGTTAAGGCAGGTCAGGAGAAGGAGGACAGGGAAACTGAGTGAATTCATGGAAACACCTGTCCAGAGCAGTGATATTGCTGCCTCGGCCTGGGATATTCTGAAGGTGCTTAAGGGAGTCAAGCACCACATCATTTAAATGGGAGTACCCAACTTTGATATTTGGTAATGCCGCGTCCTGCTGCAGCTAGGCCCTCACAAAATGTGTGCGCATGGACACTTGCGTGCATCAGCATTTCTATTAAGTAACAACAAAACCTTTTCTAAGGAAGGAGAACGAACCTGTTCACTCGAAGATGGCAGTTTGTGAGGGTCCATGGTGAGGCTTTTCAGGTCATCTGAAATGGTCTGTAAGTGGGTTATTTCTCCTAGCATTGAAATTTCTTCTTCCTGAAGAAATAATACACCGTAGGGCTGTTCATACTCTTGCATTTATAAGTTAGAGAGTTAAGAATGTACAAAACTCTGTCCTCTTGTGGTGGCAGATGCATCAATGACACATCCTGTCTTTCCCCTTGAGATAATTATTTCTTGTGAAAAATGTCAGGAAAGGCCAATCTACTGTGTTTAAAAAGTAGCTTTGGGCCATATTCACTTGGCAGCATACACAAGCAGCAAAACTCTTCCTCAATTCCCTCTCTCATCTTTGAGATATAGAATCCCAAACTTTTTTTCTTTTTTTTTTTTAAATCTCTGAAAACCGAGTCAGCCCAACACACTTCATTTAAAAACAGGGATCCAACAACCGTAGGGCACTCAGTATCTCGCCTTTAGGATCTGATCCTTAAAACCCAAGCGGCGGTTTAGAACTCTATACATTTTGCTGATTTTCTGCGCACTCCATCTGGACAACAGGTACTACACAAAAGGCACAGACAGAAACCACATTTGTCATGCAATTGACCCCTTGAAATCACTCTAAAGCCATGTCCAAACAGACGAGCATGGCTGCAGAGCCCTATAATCTCATGATAAATTAACCCTCATTGTATGAGGGTTCAAATGAAGCTGCTCCTAAGCAGAGCAATGTCATTAATTTGTTTGTTTAGCTGCAACACTAACCCAGCTGGAGCTGCTGTCTCTGGATGGGAGAGGGGAGAAGGCAGGAG